GGGGGCAGCTGCAGCAGCAAGTCTTGCCCTGACTGTTGTGGTCGCAGGCAGAAAGGGGGGTGGCGCAGGTTCGAAGGGTTGGTCGTGACGTTGGTGAGAGCTCTGCGGGACGGAGGACCAAGTGCTAAAAGCAGGAATGTTTCCCTGTGGGAGCGAGAGGTATTTGTGGCCGGGCTGAGCTAGGGCTCCAGGCACTGGAGGCTGGTGACTCCCCAGCTCCCACACAGCGGCCACTCTGCGTGCCCGGCCCCAGGTGCCCGCGCTTCCAGCCAATGATCTGAGAGATTTCCTCCCAGCGAGGCTGACTGCCAGGCTGCGTTCAGACTCTCATGCCCTCCCACTGGCGCGTGCACGCTGAGAGGGCGTGCTGTGGATGAGGACATTGTCGCAGCCTTCCAGCCTTTGCACCCTCGTCAGAAGAACCCCGGATACGAGGTGGATGAGCGGCCCAAGCACAGGAGCTGGTGGTGTGGTGCCCAGAGCCGGGTTGTGGCCCTTCCTAACCCACAGCCAACGGTCCTGCCTCCAGTTTAGAGACAAGCTAGGGAGGGCGTTTGTCAAGTGTATCAAGTCCCTGGGGCTGAGACTCCCTGCATGTGGCTCCACACCGGTGAGGAAGGAGGAAGGTTTCAGAAGGGAGGGGAGGGCCAGCTCCATGGGGCAGGAGAGCACACTTGTGCTTCAGGCGCGTCTGGGGCAGGGCCTGTAGATGGGGCCGCTCCTGCCTGTGGGTGCAGGACCAAAACCCTGGAGAGGGTGAGCGGGGTGTCTTGAACTAAGCTTCCGGGGAGAGGACAGCCGGGGTACTTGCTGCTGGCCCCCGAGCACGGCAGCCCCCAAGGGGAGAAAAGACCCCAACAGAAGCAGTTCACCTCTGGGAAGGTGCTCTGGGAGCCATTGACCGTCCTCGACTCGCCTGGTAACAAGGCGGTTAAGGGCTGTTGTGGAGGAAGGACCCTGCCACCCACACTGTTAACAGGCTGTTCTGCTCAAGACCTGCTTGCAGCGCTGAGCCCATCCCCCAGGCTTCTTGTCCGATGCTGGGTCCCACCCTGCACCGGACGGATGGACGGGTTTCCTCATCAGGGTCCTCACACAGGGAAGGGCTCAGAGAGGTGTGGCACAGTCACATGTTGGCAATGGGTGGAGCAGATTCTGGGGGCGCCAGAGCCAGATTCCGCCCCAGCTCAGCAGGAAGGGCATCCAGAACCCCTGCTCACTTCTGTGTCACCTCTTGGGAAGCATTGGATTGAGTCCAGGTGACCCGGCTGCTCGGGATGAGGCTGTCAGCTCCAGTTTGGAGGTGATTTGCGCATTGTGTCCATCAGTGGGGAGGAGAAGAATGGGCGATTGGGACATGGTGTTCATAACCCAGGGCCTGTCTCATCGCAGTAAAATGGTTAGTTTTTTAAGGTAAACTTCATTCAGAAGCACACAGATCCGCCCATCAAAGCATTGCCCTATGAGTGACCTCTGGGATGAAGCTTCACTTCTCACCGTCCGAGCGGGACGACCCAATAGGACAGGGCAGAAATGCCCCTGTGGGCTGCTGAGACTGTCGCTCTTTGCATAGCAGCTGGTGGTTTCAAACTGCTGACCTTGAAGTTAGCAACCATAATTCGTAACCACTAAGCCACCAGGCCCCCTCTGCTGCATGTTAGCCGTTCCTTGTTCTATACCAAGATAGCTCACACTGTTTTGCTGAAATCAGGTCTTTAGCAAGAAGGGAAATTGCCTAGGTTTGTAATAACTTTTCTTTTCCTTTGCAGCTCTGGTACTACGGAGAACATTTGTTCATGCTGCACGGCCGGTTCCTCACTGTGATTCCTTATAAGTGCGAGGCCTCTTCCTTAGCAGGGGCCCTGGGGAAACTCAAACACAGTGTCGAGCCAGGTAGGCGCTTCTTACTTACATGGCTTCCTGGGAGCAAAGCGCTTTATGAGTTCTCGGTTTGGGGTATAGATTCCCACTCGATTTACAGAGCCTGTTCTTAATTATGGAATTGGCCCCAGTTGATGGAAACTCCCTCGACCCGAGAAGCTATCCTGTGAGCAGTTCATAGTGCGAGCTGGCATCTGAGGGGCTGCCCTTTAAGGAAGCCAGCAGGGGCAGTGAGAGAGCCGCCGCTGCCCCGCGCGCGTTGGAGCAGTGCTGTGCTCCTGCTGTGCCCTTTCCTGTCTTGGGATTTGCTGCTCTGAGCTCGGGACTGTGGAGTTCCGGGGACCTGCAGGCCTCTCTTGGACTGTGCACAAGCGGTAGGTTTGGTTGTCAGTCAACCAAAACATTCCAGAAATTGTGCGTTTGGTATTTTCCTAGGCATTCCTGCAATGTCCCATTTCGTAAACTGGGAAACATCTCAGGACTGTGGACTTGAATCCCAGAAGCCAGAGCCGCCCAAGAGAACTGTAAGTGGCAGGAGCGGCAGCCTAGACACCTTAGCGCAGCTGCTGAAAACCGGGAAGATGTGGAGTCGTGTGAGGGATTCCTGTTTGCAAAACTCGCCCAGTTCTTGACGGCAGGAAAGTGCGAGCTGGAGTCTAATTGACTCAGCCTTCGTCTAAAACCACATGTAGTCCTTTGGGCCGGGTGTGTATGTATTTTATAAAAGTGTTAGTTGTGAAAGTGAACGATTAGCAGTCATAGCTTTCTAGATGGAGATTTTAGCTTGTGCTTAAAAAGAGAAACCTCAGGAGTATTAAGGAGTTAGTTTGAAAGCTGAAGTGTGCCCACGTGTCAGGAAGGAAGGATGTGCTATTAAGAAGCTCTGAGAGTCCTTTTCGGTTGTTTCGCGTTCCTCTGCGTGGTTAGCCCGTCTTGTGCTGACTGGAGCTCGTGAGCCCTGTGTTTCATTTCAGTTACGAACGAAAAACGTGGCAGTGAGTTCGCAGCCTGCTGTTTCAGCATCCAGACAGCTTTTATTAACCATAAAGGTGAGCAAGCAACACAAGAAAGGAAAATTCAACCCACCCGGTTCAAAGAAATCCCGCCCTCTTTCTGTGTCTTATTTTCGTGATCCTTTTGGGAGCGGTAGCTAACAATTGAGGAATATCTCAGAGTTGCCGGGCGCCCTGGTGGCACAGTGGGTTAAGCACTTGGCGCACCATGAGAGACAGACCCGGCTGTGTGCTGTCATGAAGAAGGGCAGCCCGGACACCAGATGGAGCAGTTCTGCTCTGCCTCTGTGGGGCCCCTGTGAGTCTGCCAGCCCCACTTTAGCTGAGAGTTGCGGGCGGGGTTGGTCCTGCGATGCTGGGGGAACTCACACTGTGATACAGAGGAGCACTGGGCGGGTTTGCGATTTCGTCTCCTGGGGACTGTGATGCGTAGCCCTTTGGATCGCTTTTCCCTTTCCGGTGTGTTTTTTTCTGAAGCAAAACCTCCAGTTTCACAAGAAGGTACGCGAGACCTGAGTGAATTGAGCCACGTAGAGCTAGGACTTAGAAATCAGTGACATTTAAAACCGTGCCAGGCCGCACTCTTACTCCCGTCCTTACAGAATGGCACCGAGAAGCACATTGAGGTCGAGCTGCGTAAGTTTCTGGCTGCCAAGCAGAGCCCGGACTTCCACACTGCTGTTGGGGACATCGCGGCGGGCCTCCTGGGAAGGTGCCAAGCGGAGCCATCCTTTTACCCCCGGGGCTGCCTGACGCAGCTGGTCCAGACGCACGTGCTGTCTCACAGGTCGGGCCTCGTGTTGGTGGGACTGCTGAATGGTCTGCGCTGCAGCTTTCCGGCCACGCAAACCGAGGTCCGTTCTGTGTCTTAGCTTGTGCCCCGGCCTGATGGACCTGGCCGTGGAGAAGGCGGACGTGCAGCTCTTGCAGCTCTGTCTGCAGCACTTCCCCGACATCCCTGAGAGGACCACCTGCGCCTGCTTACAGCTTTTCCTCAGGTCGGTTGGACGCCCTTGGCCTTCGCTGCGTGTTCAGCAGCTGCACCCTGGGCTTTCTGGCCCTGGGTGTGCTGTGAGCGTGATGGGTTCTTCCCTCCCGAGCGAGGTCAAGCTGTGATGAGAATCCTTTGCTTCCACGGGGCATCTAGCATCGGGGATGACAGGCTCCAGGAAACGGACGTCAGCACAGAGTCGGTTTTCCACTGCGGCGATGCTGGGCAGGAGGAGCCAATGGAGATGCAGAAGGAAATTCTGGAAAACGGTGTCCAGGCTGCGGGGGACCAGTGCAGCGACTGTGACAGAGGGCTGCAAGGGAGGCCTCTGGGCAGCAACGAGGAGGCCAGCTCGAGCCCGGTGACGCCAAAGAGAGCGGCTCTGCTGTATCCTTTGGGACCAGGTGCTTCCCACTCGGCACCTCTGGACATAGTCACGGGCAGATAGAGCCAACAAGGTAGATCATTTTAGTGTTTTTCTTTTGTTACCTTTTCAACTTTTTTTCCCATTTCTGCTTGAAGTGGAGCTCAGTCCCTGCTCCCGGAAACCTGCCTGCAGCTTTAAGAAGCTGCCCAAGAGCGAACGTCCACGCGTCCGTGCGGCCCGAGAGTAGGGAGGAGCTCCAGGTGTGTTGCTTCTTGGTTAGGAGTTTGCTGAGTGATCCCGTCCTTCTGGGGAACTCACGTGTATAGAGTTAGGAAGGGCACCCACTCCCAGCATCCCCATGGTCTGGCCTGTATTTCTAAAGCAGTGGAGCTTCCTTCAGTCCTAAGCAGGAACTCAGTTCTTCACTCGGCGTACAGCGAGGCCTGCCTTCTGCCCCACCTGAAGGACATCCCCGCACAGCACGTCACAGTAAGTGGCCTTGCAGAGCCCGCCCGCTCTTGGGTCTGCCCTGGAGGGCGCTGCGCTCATTGCCAGGAAGAAGAGGGTGCTCAGCCGTGGGGTGAAGATTGGGTCAGGAGAACAGGGACATGCAGGGGGGCCAGGAGAAGCCATCTCCCTTACAGATGAGTAAGCGCTGCAAAGGGGAGGCGGCTCCCTGGCTGACTCCTCACCCATGAGGCCTCACCTGGGACAGGGCGCTCCATGCTTCTGGCCCCAGATCTTGGGCACTGTGTTTGATGATTCAGGGGGCAGTCTGCTGGCTGTGGTTTTCATCACGGTGATACACTGTCCCCCTCTCCCCTCCTAGCTCTTTCTCCGGTATTTGTACTTCCTGTATCTGAAGTGCAGTGAGAACGCCGCTCTGACTCTGCCTGGCACCCACCCTCCCAGCCTGAACCAGGTACGGCCCTCTGTTAACTGCCCTGGGGAGAACAGCCATTTAAAAGGCTGTATGAGGTGCCTCAACGTTTATTGCAGTAAAATATAATCTTTAATGAAAATTACTAAGTATATTATCACTGATGACGATTTTAAGAGTATGAATCAAAAGTCCAGTGACAACACTGTCCTTGGGGTAGATACCACACAAAGATGACTGATATTGGGAAGTTCTGTAAGAAATCGTTGGTACTTTCCGAGCCATGTTCAGAATGCCCTCCCAAAGTGAATTCCCCAGAACTCGTGCAGCCCCGCGCAGAGTCACTGTGTGCTCGCTCGGGTGCTCTCCTGCCTGGCCACAGCACGGTGAACCAGCGCCTCCAACTGCTGCCTCCCTCGGTGTCTGCAAGCAGCACCGGGGCTGTGCTGGGAGAAGACAGGGCCCCTCGGAGAACCTCTGGAGAAGAGCATGACAATAGCAAAGTCGTGCTCTCAGGAACCTCGGGGTCAGCCCTGTTTCCATGCAGTACTCTTTGAGGAGCAATAGGAAGCATTAAAAAATAATTGATAGCCATTTAGGGATGTATTATTCTCGTTTATGTCAGACACTCAGTTTGACTTTTTTATTTTAAAAATGTAGGTTTAACAAATGCTAAGTTTCTCGTTGAACAAGCGGTCCATCAATAACACAGGGTGTGGAGCCAGAGGGAGCCGGCTTCGCTTGCGGGCCCCACCCCCCACCCCCCCACCCCTACACACACCGCAGTAGGGCTTTCTTTTTGTCTGCAGACTTACCTTCCTTTTTGTCCGCCACAAATTGTGTGTGTGTGTGTGTGTGTGTGTGTGAGAGAGAGAGAGAGAGAGAGATGTTTGGGGGGCTGGTTCACATCCATCTGTCTGCCTACGACTGTTGTGAACCCTTGGCAGTATCTCATCTGGCCCATTGATCTTGAGGTTCATCGGTCGCTTGCATGACGGTGTGCTCTTGTCAAGCAGCCTGTAGCCAGTGTCCCTTGCACAGAGACAAGAGCTTCTGCTAGGTAAACGCCCAGAAGTGAAATGGCGGGACGAGAGGGAGGGAGGATGCTGGCAGTGTGATTTCAGACAATGCCTTTCAGCAGGGATCTGGTGACAGGCGCTGCCCCCACCCACAGTGTACCTCCTTTCTCCTGTACCTCCTTTCTGACGCCTGGTACAGAGAGACCTCCGACACACAGGTAGTGAAAGTTTTGTTTGCTGAAGGAACCCCGGTGGCATAGTGAGTTAAGCGTTGGGCTGTAAACCACAAAGTTAGTGGTTCAAACTTTCCAGGATGCCTCACTGGAGAAAGATGAGGCTGTCTACTCCCATAAAAGATTGACAACCTCCAAAGGCCCATGGAGCAGTTCTTCTCTGGCCAGTAGGGTACTATGGGTCTGAACCGGTGAGCGGTCTTGGTTTGGGTCAGACTGTGAAATGTGCGTGATTGAGAAGTTGGAAACATTGTGAGCATGACCACAGTGTGTGACACATGGATGGGAAGTGAGAAACGTGGTGTTGACAGGCATGCTCAACGACACATTGCGGGACATTTGTTTATAAAAAAATGTTACTTTTTGCAGTTCAGTAAAGCCTAGTGCAGGAACACAGGTGTTCCTGTGTTGTCCACCTCTGCCTCTCAGGTGGGCACCAGACGTTCATTGGCATCTCTCTGTGATATGGACGAAGCAGGCTGCCTAGTTTGGCCAGTTAGAGTTCTTTTGTGGTCTCTGACCAAGTCGGAGCCTGGGAGCTTTTTATTTTTTATTGTGCTTCCTCTCTGTGTATTTCGCTTCTATAAAGTTCTTCGTATCTCACCTTTGTGAAAACAGTCTCACTGATACATTCAGGAGCGCCGTGCTGTCATCACCACAGTCGCCTGAGAGGCACGTAACCGTGGTTCGTGTGCATCGGGAAATGCTGCCGGGGCTGCCTGCCTCGGGCCTTGTGCTCGGTTACGCCTGTGCCACACACACGCTCGCAGCTTTGCTGCTGTCAGAACTGACCCAACAGGCCGCTTTGGGTTCTGTGGTGCTTCGAGCCCTCGCCCGCCTGTCCGATGAGAAGACGCCCACTCCTGCTTCAGGTCCTGCAAAGCTGCTGTTTGGGTTTCTCACCGTTGGATTCATCCAGGATTTTTTCTTTTTTTTTTTTTTTTTGGAGTAGGGAATTTTACCTGTTTCTCCCTCCCAAAAAAATTAGCCATTTTTTCATGGCAGTGATATTTGCACTTTAACTACTTTATTCAAAGACGTAGGGCTGCCGAAGATACCGTTATAAAGAGTAACTTCACTTTAGTTTGAGGCAACCTCGCCTATGATTCACAGCATTTTCTTCTTGTGGCATATGGGGGTGACCAGGAAAATAGGGGGTGAGGGGTGTCTCTTTTCACATGTGCAAGTAATTATCAAAACCCATTTTAGAGAAATGAAATGCAGGCACTGATGCTCCCTGGGGGTCCCAGCCTGGCGGTGGGTCCATCACCGGTGAGTCTTGTCAAAGTTCAGGATCTGCTTATGTCTGCTGAAGAACCATCTAGAAGCAGGATGGAGCCCTTTCGTATTCCTCAGAAGTTCCAGCCGTCTCTAGCTGCAGGGAGCCGGGCCTGTAGGAGCGCCTCTGTTCGTACAATTGTGGGCGTAGTTAGGGCCTTCGTCGTGAGCTTGAGCATCTGTCTGTCTACAGATCATGGACTGGACCTGCCTGCTGCTGGATGCGAACTTCACAGTTGTGGTGATGGTTCCAGAAGCAAAGCAGCTGCTCACCAGTCTGTACAAGTTTGTGAAAGCCCAGGTACGCCGCTGGCCGCTGCGTGCTGCGCTGCCTTCTGTGCGCCCAGGCGAGTCCGGGTTCGCTCACAACTATTTCTTCCTCCAGATCAGCGTCTACTCTGAACTCAACAAGATCCAAGTAAGTTTTCAGGAGCTGCAGAAACTCAATCAAGAGAAGACTCGGACAGAACTGTATTCCATCGAAGTGCTGGAGCTCTTCTGAGGCTCTGCGCCTCCTCCTCCTCCTGCCCGCCTCGAGCCACGGGACTGTGCCAACTGCCACCCATCGGGGGTCTGCACACTCCAGGGGAGCCCGTCCCAGTGTGTGGCTGCTCGCAGGAATTCCAGCCCACACACTCACACCCTTTTTTTAACATCTGTAACTGAATTGGTTTTAAGTACTTATTTGTGTATAGATGTCTTATATGTGTGGAATTATTCTTTTAATAAAATCACTGCCGCTGAAGCCATATTCTAGGGAGAAAGTAAGTTTTTCGGTCAGAGCTGTCCCACCAGGGCTGGGGGAGCATTGCTGGGGCACTCGCTCTGCCCCGTTTCCCAGACCTCTTACCTGCTTCTACTTTCCTCTGAGCGTCCAGAGTGAGAAGTCTCTCTCTCAGAATGCCAAGGTTGGTGACCACAAGGCAGCTTGCTTTTCCCAGCTCTGGACAAGCCCCCTGATATGCAGAAGTCCCACCTTCCATCGCTTCCCTGGCAGTGCCAGCAGCTTCCTGCTCTGACAGCTGTCTGCCTTGCAGTGGCTCCAGCTTTCCCGGGTTTTCAGGTAGTGGAAACAGTTACAGGGTAACTGATGGTTCCTTCCAGTTTCTGACAAATGGAAAGGTTTTATGTAAAATAAAAGTTTTTGTTTTTTTGGAGATTTAAAAACTCATTATTTTACATTGTAAAATCACCTCTTCAGGTAGCAATTAAGTTTTAAGTGATATTTAAGTATTAAATTCCCCCCAGAGTAACTTGAAACCTTCTGAGCTAGGAGTGAAAGTCAACAGTCATTTGGAAGCCCATTTTAACAGGAAGGATTAGTGTGTCTGCTTGAAATCCTATCGGCTCTAGCACGTCTATGTAAGTGTGGGTGTCGTTTACAGAACCATTGCTTGCGTTAATCTAATGGCAGCAACAGAGAGGGCCCTCGACAGGATGGATGGACACAGTGGCTCCAACAATGGACGCAAACACAAGAACGATTGTGAGGATGGTGTTTCATTCTGTTGTACGCAGGCTCCGCCCTCTGAGTGGGAGCCTAGCGGACAGGACGGCACCTAGCAACATCCGATCACACAGCATCTCCTCAGACGGGAGAGAAGTAGCAGACAGCAGGACCCTCACGGTCACACTCCATAGAACGGAGCCTTGGGCTCAGCCCCAGTTGAGCTTCTTTTCATCTTTTTTTGCTGAACGCCTTAAGAGTTATAGTAGGCATCAGACATAAAACGGTGAGTTTCTAAACTTTAAACGTTTGTACTGGTGAATATTGAAAGTATATGGACTGCCAAGAGGACAAACCAGTCTGTTCTGGAAGAAGTACAGCCAGAGTGGTCCTTGGAGGCGAGGATGACGAGAGAATTCCTCATACATACTTCATGAACTATTTGTGATTTTATTTAGAAGAAGCCGTAATGAAGATCACAATCTCACCGTGGTTTTCTGGTTTTTATTATTATTAGTTGGGATTCAATACATATATCTTATTGTCCACTTGAGGCTATTGAGAGTGAAGAGGTGGAGTTTAACCTATCTTATCAGGTTGCAGCTTGATGACCTCATTTGGAGGTGGGACAGATAAATAGCTCCCTGGGGGCCAGACCCACTTTCTCCCTGCTTCTTCCTGTTGACAACCACGTGGAGCCACACTGATGGCAGCCAGAGCCAGTGATGCTTCCAGCTCCACTGGATCCACAAGACTTTCCACCCACTGGCCTGTGATCTTCCTGCATTCGGCATTGCATGTGCTGCATGAGTCTGAAATGGAATTCATGGGCTATTATCAGAAATGAATTTGACTAAATCGGGCTGGGATGTTTTATTGATATATCATCACTAATTGATAAAAAGTTCTGTCACACATATATGAGTGTCTCTGGATTGGTTTCTCTAGTCAGCCTGGTCTAACACACTCCAATTTCAATTTTTGTTTATTTTCAAGTGTTTATTTTTTAAACAGTGAAAAACAGGGGACTGGATTCAGTGCCAGGCAGTTCTTAAATTAGCTTTTCATTCTTTGCGACTTAATTGTCCTGGTAGATGACTTCTGCAGTGAAGAGTCATTTGCCTGGTCAGGAATCAAGGGCTCCAAGGGGGCAGAGGTCAGAGGGCAACCTCCCTGTGCCCTCAAGCATTTTTCAAGGAGGATTCTGAAGAAGTCTCCATTGTAAGGAAACATGCCTATTTGATAACACTTCGAGTGTTTTCACAGACATGATCAAATTCGGCAGCCACTTAGGAGGAGAGGATATAAACTCATGATCAACAAGATTGAATTTCTTTTAATTAAGCCAAAGAATTGCATTGCCTTTAAATGACAAGTTGCATATCGTTTCTAGGTTGTCTCCAATCAAAGTTAATTGATTCCAATCAATTCAGAAATGGGAGGCTCTTACAGGGACATACGAAGACTCTTACAGGCTGAGACCCTGCAGGCCAGAACCGTGTCAGCCTTTGTGCCCTCTTAAGCACAGGCCCACAGGCGTTCAGGAAATGGTTATTGGGAAAAGCTATTGAAGGATGACTTTATCGCTCCTCCAGTAGATTCTTGGGATTTGTCACCATTCCTTTTTCCTAGGAAGCAAACCATGTTTGCTCACTAAATAGAAAAAGTGCACATTTCTACCTCCACTCTTTTTCCCCACTTTTTGTTTTAATTGTGGCAAATATACATGCAATGAATAGAACATTTGACATTTCACAGGTTGTCGCATGTACAGTCATGACCTTGAGTTATCATGTTCAGCGATTGCCCTTACCCATTCACAAGTTTCCCCAGCATAGACTTCTTTATAGCACTGGTATCTCACTGCCATCGAGTGCATGCAACTCATAGCGACCCTCTGGGCAGGGGAGAACTGCCCCTGTGGGTTCTAGGACTACATCTTCACGGGACTAGAAAGCCTCGTCTTGCTCCCTTAGAGTGGCTGGTGGTTTTGAACTGCTGACCCCAACGCGTAACCATGACCCCACCATGATTCTCAGGGTTACGTCATTGCCCTCCAATTTGTGATTTGATGTACTACTTCTATGTGTTGTACATCCTGATCTCTGTGGTGTTCATTGAGCCCTGCGGGTGTGATGGTTAGGAGACAAATCTCGCAATGCGAGACTCCGCTCGAAAACACACACAAGGGTAGGTCTCGTACCACCCTGTCTTCTAGGGCCGCTGTGAGCCGGCATCCACTCGGTGGCAGTGAGGTGGGTTTGGGTTTCGTGGTGTTAATGAAGTAGAATCAGAAGCACGTCTGTTCATGAGGCAGAGTACAGTCCACAGGATGAGGTTGTACAAAAAGTTCATGGCCACTTCTATAATTTTTTTAAATCATTTTATTAGGGGCTCATACAACTCTTATCATAATCCTTACATACATCAATTGTGTAAAGCACATTTATACATTCATTGCCCTCGTCATTCTCAAAACATTTCCTCTCCACTTAAGCCCCCGGCATTAGGTCCTCATTTTCCCCTCCCTCCCTGTTTCCCCCCTCCCTCATGAACCCTTGAT